TTACATACATTAAGTAAAAAAAAAAGTTAAATCACATTTTTTTTTTGTTATTAACTAAAGCAGAAAAAAATAAATAACCACATTTATACATAACCTTAAATGCATAAATACAATTATACTTCATGTCTTTTTTTTCCCCAGGCAGTTGATTTTCTGTTTCATTTCAAGTATGGCTGAATATTTGCCTATATAACTGCCTATTGGCTGTAGGACTGAGCATAGTAAAATTATTTAATTGCTAATATATGTGGCCAACTTTGAATTCATTAACCCCTTAAGGACGGAGCCAAATGTACACGTTGTGAACCAAAAAAATTTAAACAAAACCTGGCATTTGCGCTACATGTCTGTCCAACCGTAATTCACCTCTTTCATAGTAAATGCACCCACCCTTATTATATATCATTTTATTCAGGGGAAACAGGGCTTTCATTTAATATCAAATATTTAGCTATGAAACATAAATTAATATGAAAAAAATGGGAGAAAATAAGATTTGTTTAGTTCTACATGACATTTTAACGGTCAATGTCATAATACTGTTTGCTTTTACTGCAATAAAATACACATATTTGTATTCAGCAAAGTCTCACGTGTAAGACAGTACCCCCTATGTACAGGTTTTATGGCGTTTTGGGAAGTTGCAGGGTCAAATATAGCACGTTACATTTGAAATTGAAATTCGCCAGATTGGTTACGTTGCCTTTGAGACTGTATAGTAGCCCAGGAATGAAATTTACACCCATAATGGCATACCATTTGCAACAGTAGACAACCCAAGGTATTGCAAATGGGGTATGTCCAGTCTTTTTTAGTAGCCATTTGGTCACAAACACTGGCCAAAGTTAGCGTTAGTATTTGTTTGTGTGTTAAAAATGCAAAACCCACCAATTTTGGCCAGTGTTTGTGACTAAGTGGCTACTACAAAAGACTGGACATACCCCGTTTGCAATACCTTGGGTTGTCTACTATTGCAAATGGTATGCCATCATAGGGGTAATTTTCAATCTTGGGCTACCATAGGGTCTCAAAGGCAACCTAACCAATCTGCCGAATTTTAATGTGAAAAAAATGAAACGCAAGCCTTATATTTGACGCTGTAACTTTTGAAAACACCATAAAACCTGTACATGAGGGGTACTGTTGTACTCGGGAGACTTCGCTGAACACAAATATTTGTGTTTCAAAACAGTAAAAAGTATCGCAGCAATAATATGTCCGTGTAAGTGCTGTTTGTGCGTGAAAAATGCAAAAAACTTCACTTTTACTGGCGATATCATCGTTGTAATACATTTTACTGTTTTGAAACACTAATATTTGTGTTCAGCGAAGTCTCCCGAGTAGAACAGTACCCCCCATGTACAGGTTTTATGGTGTCTTGGAAAGTTATAGGGTTAAATATAGTGCTAGCAAATTAAATTCCCTTTACTTTCGGCATGGGTTGTCAGGCAGGTCCCGCTAATTGTAATTAATTAAGATACCTAATTATGTAAAAATATTACATAAATATATATGTAGAATTAATATATATATATATATACGTATGTGTATATATATGTATATATCTATATAATTTTTTTAAAATATTTTTATTTATATATAGCTATATATATAGTGATATATACGTATATATTTATGTATATAGATATATATATTATTTCGTTCTACGTGTATTTTGATATATATATATATTAATTTCACAATACAGTTAGAACGAAATAACACACATCTATATATTTTTTAATTATTTCTTTTTAATTATTTTTTTAATTTTATTTTTTAACGTATTTACATATTTTATTTTTTTATATTATATATAAATATATATATGACAATAATTATATATATATTTAATCAGTATCAGTCTACGTGTAATTTGATATTAATATATATATATAATTATATATATATTAATAGTAAAATACACCTAGACAGTGTATGTGTGTGTATGTATATGTGTATATATATACTTAGATCATATATATATATATATAGTATATATATATGATCTAAGTATATATATATATTTTTTACACCAATAAATTTAATTTTAATTTTATTTTCAGCCAGCAGGGGGACCACCTGTCATTACAGGCAGCCCCCCTGCTGGCAATGCAGGAGGCAGCCTACACGGCCATGTGATTGTGGGGTCCTCGCTAGGACCCCACTCTCACATGGCCGGGGAGCACCGGAGGAGAAGGATCTGCCGCGGGGGGTCTCCCTGGGACCGGGTAAGTTAACAAAAACCGGAGGGCGTACAATTACGCCCGGCGGCGTTTAGAACCGCCTAAAATAGGGCGTAATTGTACGTCCTCCGGTCAGAAGGGGTTAACTGAGATAATATGATAATTTTGGTACACTGTTTGGATATCAGTATCAGGGTTAAGCAGTGAATACAGTGCTGAAGGTTTTATGTGCAGTGTGTAATAATGTATCAGGAAGGGGATATCATAGCAACACACACCTGTTCATTTACCCCCCACATGAGACTAATTTAGAAACTTATTGCAACTATTTAGTGACCAGCTGCTACTTATTATCATTCTTTAGTTACTGCTACTTGTTTCTTCTTACCATCTGCCACTAACTCAAAAGTACTTAAAGGGACACTCCAGGCACCAAAACAACTTCATATAAATGAAGTTCTTATGGGTGCCAGGAAGCTCCTGGAGGCACAAGAAGTTGAATTCAGTATCTCCTCCCTCTGCATGCAGACACTGAACTTTCCTCATAGAGATTCATTGATTCAATTCATCTCTATGATGAGATGCTGATTGGCCAGGGCTGTGTTTGAATCATGCTGGCTCTGCCCATGATCTGCCTCTTTGTCAGTCTCATCCTATGGGGAAGCACTGTGATTGGATCAGGCTACCACATGTCAGCAGACAGCTTGTTTTTCTGAGTCTTACAGCATGCAGATTTACAGCTTCAGGCTTGAATACGGTAAGATTTTTACCATATTTATGGAGACATGAGTGGCCCAGGGGGGATAGATGGTGGTGTTAAAACTATAGGCTCAGGAATACATGTTTGCGTTCCTGACCCTATAGTGATCCTTGAATCTAAAAATTCAGTATGCCACCTGGGGGGGAATGGATATAGCTGCTAGAGGAAACTTTGGGGTTAAATAATTTAAGAGCGACTTTACCCCTTGAGGTAAGAGTTCTTCCAGGGGCTTCCTGGCACCATAACAACTTCATTTATATGAAATTATTTTGGTGCCTGGAGTGTCCCTTTAACACTAGCCCTGTGTAAAGAGGTAACACTAAATTTTACCAGTCAGCCTGTACTTTCCTGTGTTCCTACTGGTCACAAAGGGTGAAGTGCAGATGCCTATGTGTGTGTTTCTACACTTTACTAGCAAGCTACTAATTTGTGACCTTAACACATACACATTTAGAATTCATATGCTAACTGGAATTAGCATATCTTATGCTTGTAATAAAGACAAATTTATTACTGTATACATTTCATAAAAGTGGGCAACAAGCATGTATGTGTGAAACAGAGAAAAATCCTCTTACCAACATAAGAATTATTACATCACTGCTAACTGGAAGCTTTCAGATTCCCACACACAGATATTCTGTTTCAAATAAGATGCCATTAAGATTTTATGTTTCCTTATTGAAAACTTTTTCCTTTCATATGAGTCCCTAAATGAGTTCATCAGCTCCTATCCTCAGACTTGATCCTTAATTATTTCAAAGCACATTATTGTTTTACATCAATTAATGTAAGTCTATAAAAATAGTAAGAGAGATTAGAGATCATACATATAACCAAAATATGTACTGTGTAAATCTGTGTTAAAAGGTCAATGGAATTTAATATTTTTAATGACTCCCTTTAAGTTGAAATTATACTAAAAATTGAATTTGTTAACTATAGCACAGTTTCTTTTTCCACCAATCGTCTGGTTGTGTAGTTATATTTTTTAAAAGTATATCTGTCATTCACACATGTGTAGATGACAAGGTCCATTTGAGTTAAGTTAAAAAATGTCCTCTATGACTGTGCTAGTTATTTTGCTTACTATTGATTAAAAGCAGAACATTTCTTTATTTGATTTATTAAACTATAAACTATTATCAGACCAGGAAACAAGTGGAAAATCCTTAGTAGGATAATCCAGGGCAAGGGTTAAAACCAGGCAACAGGATTCTGGATTAGGTAACACGCTTGAAAGTCTTTGGAACGGGGGGAGCGGGGGGGTGGGGCCTGACAGTGATGGTGACTGGATGTGCTTTTTTAGAGCTCCCAACACATGAAACAATTTAGTCCAGTTGCCCATGCATTAAACACTGTACTTCGAGTACCTTGAGACTCCTCAGTATCCTATATCGATTGCCTGGCTGGGAGCTACTTCAGTGGTCGCCGGACACTGTCTGGACAGATATCTTTGCCGACTGAGTGCAGGCTTGGTGGGCGCTGTGGTAGGGAGAGGCAGCCGATCTCCTGGCCTGATGTGTGCTGGCTCTAAGCACCATGGAGCTGATGCCCCGCTAGCCCCCACCCTTTGGACCTCTACTGCCTTACAATTTCTACTATGTCCATTCATGCCTGATAATTCTCTAATAAACCATTATTGAGCTTAGACATGTAGCATAGCATCATCACATAATATCAAATTGTGCAGCATTTTCGTACGCCACGTAATTGTGTAACTATGTTATTTGCCATACTTGTTATTGCTGTTTGCTTGTAATTTTCTCCCTGTGCACATAAAAAAAAAAAAAAGAAAGTCTTTGGAAATTACAGGACATCAAGACATATGAACCTAGGGTGGCTTGAGTTTGAATAGGGTAAAGAAAGGGGAAGCCCTCCCGTAAAGAAAGTTCTAGGGTCTTCTATAATTGGTAGAATAGATGTCCATACCCACTTTGTGGACAAGAATGCAGTGCCGGTTAGGGTTAGAGGTAGGGTTAGGGGTAGGGTTAGGGTTAGTGCTTGGGGTAGGGTTAGTGCTTGGGTTAGGGGTTGGGTTAGGGTTAGGGTTAGTGGTTGGAGTAGGGTTTGGGGTAGGGTTAGGTTTAGGCTTAGGGGTAGGGTTAAGGGTTGGGGTAGGGTAAGTAGTTGGGCTAGGGTTAGGGGGAGGGTTAGGGTTACTCCTAACCCTCCCCCTAACCCTACCCTACCCATAACCATACCCTAACCCTACACCTACTCCTAATCCCAACCCTACCCTAACTCTACCCTTAACACTACCCCTAACCCTACCTCTAACCCTACCTGTAACCCTACCCCTAACCCTACTCCTAAACCAACACTAACCCTACCCCTAACCTAACTCTACCCTTAACCCTACCCATAACCCTACTCCTAAACCAACCCTACCCCTAACCCTACCTCTAACCCTACCCCTAACCTTACCCTAACCCTAAACCAACCCTACCCTACCCCTAACCTAACCCTAACCCTACACTTACCTGAAATCCCAAAGTCCTGAAGTGTCAAAGTGCCGAAGTGCTAAAGTCCCGAATTTCGGAATGCCGTACCGAACCGAATATTTTTCCAACGCACATCCCTACGCTTTAGCACTACAACAGGAGAGCATTGTCATTTAAAAATCATCTAATTGTATCATACCTGCCATCACTCTGAGGTATGTGATCAGGAGGGATGGGCAACCTCCTTAAGAGGCGTTGCAAGTGATGCAATCTATGCCACTGGTGACAGCCACATGGGTGGGCCTACAATCTAGATGTGGGCATGCCTGCCCACTGAAGAGGCATGCCAGCCTGCATACCAGACTGACAGACAGCCTCCTCCTTGCAGGACCATGCAGAGATCGCCTCTGAATCATTGTCTGAGTGGTCCTAATGCCCGCTTTACAGCAGACGCATCTCCCCACATGTGGCACACCAGGGAACTAAGTCATGATGTCAGGATCCTAAATTTAGTACTGTCCTGCCAAAAGCAGGGCTGTTGAGAGCCCTGCAGTATGCCTACACTATAAATAATAAATGAAATGTAGTTTATGATTGAAAAACTTAGGAATGGAATAAATATATTCACATTTGCTAGTTTAACAAGAAAACAATAGGTTATAGTATTGTATCATATGTATATCCCACTTGCCTAATACTTTCCTTTCTTCGAGGCTCTAATTATTTTTTATAATAGCTCTCTACATGTTCGGGAGAATACCAGGTTGTTTCAGTAGATAGCTGTAACGAAATCCCTTATGAATCAGACTATGCGAACCAGACCGTTCGGTTATTTATGCGTGTGTGGGGTGATTTCGTGCAAATATCAATAAAACTAATAAACTGACGAATCACCCGACCTCCTACTGAGGTCGTGTGGCGCCCATAAACCACCCAGACTTTGCGGTTAACCACAGAGTAATTGGGGAACAGCTTGGTGGTCCGCGTTCTTCTGCCGAACACATGGCAGTCGCCATTTTAAATTGTCGAATGCCCAGCGGTAAATGGCGGCGATGCCCTGGAACTCTTTTTTCGGATACTTATTCTGCTGAACACCGCTGATGCCTATCAAGGTCCTCGTTCATACGGCTGAAATCACACGAATGCCGGAGACATTTCACCGTTTGGGACTTGGATTTATGCGAAAGAGACCGACCCCAGATAGCTACAGTATGGAACTCTTTGTCGGATATAAACACGCGAACGGCCGGTGAAGTACAAACTTCATTTGACGTTATTGAGAACTGTGTTCATGGGATCTAAGCGCTATTCGCCTAGAAAATGCACTCAGATCTAAGCTATCTGGGGGTATGTGGGACTTAAAGTTTATGTTCAGTAAAATATAAGTTATAGATTTTTATGCTGTTTTGTGAATATGGGAAAAGCCATGTTTCTTTCTACCTGGAGATAATTAAGGCTCTCTTTACTACCTTAAGTTAATTATCTCCAGGATGGAAAGGAGGGAGTGACCTATGTAAAAGGGGAGTGCTTATGTTATAGCCACTGCGATTGGCTACTGTAATTCTTTTGTCCCAGTCTTCCATCTGGTCCCCTAGGGGAGTGTCCACCAGGTGGGAGACCTGCATAAATACCGGGCAGGTAGCCCCCATTAAATCAGATCGTTTTACCCCTTCATGAAGTCTCGACTCATGTTTGGGGGATTGGAAGCTATAATCACTTCATTTCAGCTGGATTTCGGGAGAAGCTACAAGGATCAGCACTGCACGAATAGAAGGATCCTTTTCAATAGCTATGTATATATACCTAAAACGGGAATTCATACGGATATAAATTAATTACTGGACTTTGTCAATATTCATCGACTTTGCCTATGATTTTACTATTTTTTTTTTCCAATTTCTGGAAATTGCATAAATCTGATTAAGAAATAAATGATAAAGTTAAATATAAAAGTATATTTCTACTTTCATGATTGCTGTGGTGGGAATAAGAGACACGCTAATGACAGTACGCTTAAATAGCAAGTGTCGTTGAAAATGTTGCCAAGAAAAGCATACATTGAATATTCAGCTAATATAAAATTATTAAATTACCTCATCACGTAGTGCTATTATTCATCCATGAAAAAATGTTCAAGGCATTTATGTTGAAAAATATTGATCACAAATGATATAAATCTTAAATATATTTAACCATAAAATTGAATTACTGCTCGATTTATCCTTTTAAATATCAAACATTTTTCCCCCAGATATTACTATATTTACTCGGTAATCATAGAATTATTCATAGTATTTAATCACTGTGAAATGATAGATAACATTTTGGTATCAGCTTTTCAAAGCATTTTATGGATGTGGATATCACAGATTTGGGAGGTCATAGTGATTTTTCTAGTAACGAATTATAAAAACTGGTTGGAATCTTGCAGCTGCATATGTCAAGGAAGTCACACTCACTTATTAAACAAAAAAATTTCAGGATGGTCGACTAACCTTCAGAACTAGGAACCTGTTCGGAATCTCACAGAATCTCTAGCTTTGACAGATGTTACAGAACTCTATCGGATATTTACCTCTCTTACAAATGGATAATCTTGCTTATTCTGCAGGGTCTTTTTATTTGTACATTAATAAATAAATATGGAGCAAAAAGAATTAAAAGGAAATGTAAGCTATGCCCAGCAACATATTTAAAGAGGCATTCTAAGTACCATAACCACTACCAGAGGTGAATTTACATTATTTGGCACCGGCATTGTAAAATTGTATGTGTGTCTTTACTCAAGCCACACACATTTCTATGTGACCTCCCCATGTGTATCTCTGAAACAACCTCACACCATTTTGTGTATTTTGCCATTTTTTAGCCCTTCTCTTAAACCCTTCCCTTACCCTTTTGTCTCTTATTCCCCTCTACCCCTTGTATCTCTTACCTTTCACCCACTATGTGTGTCTCTTATTCCTCAATTAACTCCAGTCATCAAGAAAATTGCAGGACAAATGCAAGTTTAGGAACCTTCAGAATGAGTGGGAGTATATTCTCTCAGCAGCCCCTGAACTGGTTATGTCTGTTCATAATATCCACCATGTCTAGTGCTCCTGAAGCCACCGACTGATTGTCACATCCTGTTCCTAGCTGCGGAGCATGCTGGCTATGGCTTCTGGTATCAAGTACTCTTTTTACAATTCTTGTTTAGTTTTTCTTGTTTTTTTGGTTTTCTTTTCTATGTCTGGTTTTCTTTATGCTGGGATTTCTGGGTTTATTCCTGTATTCTGTCCCTGCATTTCCCAGTCTTTTGGATTCATTTAAATGTTTGTTTTATGTTGCCACACCCGTTTGTTTTCCATCATTCCCTTTGTTTCAGAGTTCCTGCAGGCAGCTGCTCAAGGCTTCTGCCCTTTCTTGCAGGTAAGTACTATATTTGTCTTCTTTGGTTGTTTTAGCATACATTAGGCAGTGTAGGACCTGCCAGATATGGGATACATTGGCGTTGTTGGCAGGCTTATGCAATGTATGATCATATAATGTGACTAAATCCCCGTTATTTTCATATATAGTACTTGGTTATTTCTCCTCTTGTTTTGCCTATTATATCTTGTCTTGTTTTAGTTTGTATTCCCAGTCCATGTACAGTCTTGTCCTGCCCATGTAATATTAAAGTTTCCCTAATGTATTGTGTACATGTTCTGGGTTTAGCTTCCTATCCTTCTCTGGTTCTGGGTTCTATTAGTTCTGTCTTGTTGTCATGTTTTGGTGCCTATCTCTAGTCTTGCCTTGATTCTATACTGGATACATTCTTGCTGCAGAGCCTCCCTATTCAGCTCCTGGGAGGTCTGCTTAATTCCTGCTCCTAGTTCCTGGGATCCGGATAAGCTGATTCAGGGTTCTGGTTGTGGCTGCACAAACGTTGCTGCTCAACACAAGGTTACTGTGTGGTTACCCTGCACCAGACCCTGCTAATCCACCTCCACACTGTGACTCCTACTCATCATCAGGCATACTGGGTCCCGGTCCTCGCACCGCGGCCCGGACAGTGTCTGGGTCCCGGGCACCGGACCGCCACCCTGACACTGATTCAGTAACTGACACTGACACTGATTCAGTAAGGATGGAGCTAACATAACTTTATCCCTCCACAAACAGTGCTTTGCATAATGTTTCCACTTCCATGTTTGACTGTGGGGATGGTGTTCTTGAGGTCATAGGCAGCCTCCTCCAAACACGGTGAGGTGAGTTGATGTAAAAGAGCTCGATTTTGGTCTCATCTGAGCACAAACTTTCACCCAGTTCTCCTCTGAATCATTCGAATGTTCATTGGCAAACTTCAGACGGGCCTTTACATATGCTTTTTTGAGCAGGGGCGCTGCAGGATTTCAGTCCTTTATGGCATAGTGTGTTACCAATTATTTTCTTGGTAACTATGGACCCAGCTGCCTTGAGATCATTAACAAAATCCTCCTGTGTAGTTCTGGATTGATTCCTCACCGTTCTCATGATCATTGAAGAGCATCAGACTGAGGGAGACTGACAGTTGATTTGTGTTTCTTCCCTTTGCAAAGAATCACCCCAACTGTTGTCACCTGCTCACCAAGCTGCTTGGCGATAGTTTTGTAGCCCATTCCAGCCTTGTGTAGGTCTACAATCTTGTCCCTGACATCCTTGGACATCTCTTTGGTCTTGGTCATGGTGGAGAGTTTGGAATCTGATGTATTGATTGCTTTTGTGGACAGATGTCTTTTATACAGGTAAAGAGCTGAGATTAGGAGCACTCCCTTTAAGAGAGTGCTCCTAATCTCAGCTCGTTACCTGTATAAAAGACATCTGGGAGCCAGAAATCTTGCTGATTGATAGGGGATCAAATACTTATTTCACTCA